AAATTTTTTTTTTTTTTTTTTTTTAATATATCTTTATTGATTTCAGAGAGAGGAGAGGAGGGGAAGAGAGAGGGATAGAAACATCAATGATGAGAGAGTCATTGATCGGCTGCAGCCCACAACCCAGGCATGTGCCCTGACCGGGAATCGAACCCCGATCGCCTGGATCCTAGGTTGACACTCAACCGCTGAGCCATGCCCGGTCGGGCTATCCTTCTCAAATTCTTCCAAAAAAATTAAAGAAGAGGCAATACTTCCTAACACATTTCATTAGGCAAACATAACCCTGATACCCAAACTTGGCAAAGATCACGCGCGCGCGCGCACACACACACACACTACAAACCAGTATCTCTGATGACTACAGATGCAAAAATCCTAAACAAAATGTCAGCAAATTTAGCAACACATTAAAAAGACAATACATCACAATCAACTGGGGTTCATTCCAGGGCTACAAGGATGGTTCAACACACACAAATCGATCAGTGTGCTACACCACGTGAAGAAAATGAAGGGTAAAAGTCATATGATTATATTGATAGACGCAGAATAAGCACTTGACAAGATACAACATCCATTTATGATGAAAACACTCAGTAAAATAGGAATAGAAGGAAGGTACCTCAACATAACAAAGACCGTGTATGACAAACCCTCAGCTAACATCGCGCTCAGTAGCAAAAACCTGCAAGTGCTTCCTCTAAGATCGGGAACCAGACAAGGACACCCACTCTCACCACTGTCGCTCAGCATAGTTCTGGAAGTCCTGGCCAGTGCAGTCAGGCAGGAGAAAGGAGTAAAAGGCATCCAAATGGGAAGGAAGAAGTAACGCTATCACTTTTTGCAGATGCCATGATTCTTTATATAGAAAATCCTAAAGATGCCACCAAAAAACTATTAGAAACAATAAACAAATACAGTAAAGTTTCAGGATACAACATGGATGAACAAAAATCCATTGCCTTCCTATGTACTAACTAACAGTGAAATTTCAGGAAATTAAAAAAATAATAATCCCTTTTGCAATTGCAACAAAAAGAATAAAATATCTAGAAATAAACTTGACAAAGGATGTGAAGGGCCTATAAGACTTTAGAAGAGATTATACAAAAAAGCTACAAGACTTTATTGAAAAAGAATGAAGAACACAAAGAAAGGGAAAGATATTCCATCTTTAAAGGTAAGGACAGGTAGCTAGAAAGTTAATGAAACAAAATAAAATGTAGTATTACCGCCAACTTTAAAAGGTCCCAGTGTCATGCTATAGACAATCTAATTTCCAGAAAAAGAAATTGGACTCAATTCAGGCACTACTAGTGAGAGTTAACAAATTTGTTTATCAAAGTATTTGTCCATTTGGTAAAAATCTGCCCAATACTTACAATGCACAGATGATGCAGCGGTAAACAAAGACAGATCATGTTACCCTCCACTAAGTTTTCAGCTTGGAGGGAAAAGACAATCGAACGTTATTGAGCATTCATTGAATGAATGAATGAATGAATGGTCCATAACATTCAGGATGAGTAATACAACAGAAGGGATGAGTAATACAAGAAGGAGACGAAAAACCTTCCCTAAGAGATGAAGTTACATTTGAGCCAAATCATGAAATTTCCTTTCCTGGAGAAATTTATAAGTAGACTAGCAATCAAATAGTTTAGATGTAGTACTACTTAAAGCAGAAAGTTGAACCGCCACACCTCTTTGAGTCTCACAAATATGTGATTCAAGTTGTTAAACATAAGTAAAAAATGACCATAGGTTTGGGATGTAGGACAATAAAATACAACTGGAGGGATGGAAGAGAGAGTTGAATATTTATAAAATTACCCAAGAGTCATTCAGTTAGCATTAACAAATGTTTTCTGTAATTTAACCCCAGGAGTGTTATATGTTTCAAATATCAAAGTCCCTTTAAAATGTACAAACAGAACAAAAATATAAAATGGTACATATTATATGGCCAACTGCACATGACAGGATCCCAGGAATGGCTCAGTGAGCAGGCATCCTTTTACTTGTAAGTAGTAACCATCACATTACCAGTGACATACCAGTGTCATTACCAGTTATAATATTGCACAAATATTTTACAGTAGTTCAAAACAAATCAAACTGGAATTGAGTAGAGGAAGGTGAAAGATGACCCAACTTCTTCTATTTTAGCCTAGGTTACATGAGAATTGTTATTCAGAACGTCTGATTACTAGCTGTGTCTCAGTTCTTAGTTATATAAAGAGATGGGACATAAAAGTGGCATGCATAATTAAAATCCAAAGATAAAATTAAAAATTCATTCTCTCCTCCTTACCAAGACATCTTCCAGTATTGCTTGTAGAGCAGAGACACAAATTGATATGTATTTTACTTAAGCTCACTTCCCTTTACCTAACTTATTTTAACTATCAATGAAAAAAAAAAAATCAAACTACCATCAGTTCACAGAGCAAAGGGCAAAAACCAATTAGCTTAAATGATGCAAATACTAAACAGACAGCCTCTTGATAGTCAAGACATTTATTTGTAGCAAATAGCATTTTTTGCTAATAATGCCACATAAACAAGAAGTATTGTCATTCAGTACACAAAAATGTCATCTTCTCGAATAGTTAGGTAAACTATTCAGCAGTGCAACACAGCTGTTGTGCAACGGGTATGCTAGTGTTCACACATCATTAGCTCTCAAGTTGTGTCACTCATTAGACAATATCGGCGTCAAAGCACATTGCTTAATTCCCTCTTTTTAAATTTTTAAGCTTACAATAATTCAAGGATTGCCCCATGGTTTCATGTGAGAGATTGAAAAAACAACTCTCTCTCATGCAGCAAGCCCAGCATACGTGTGAAATGCACCAGTTTTACATGCCGTTGGGTGAGGCTTCTCTAATAGCCTCGTCACCCCGTTGCAAGGGTTTGGAGAAGCTGAGTAGAGAGCCCCCATTTAGGAGCACTCAGTGTGAACCTGTGTGATTCCAATCCTCTAGGAAGTGTTAGCTTAAGGGAATTTTGTTAAACTGACAAACCCAGGCCATTGGACTGAGAATGAAAGGGAGGGAGGTGGCCCACAGGGCGCTCTCTAGGGAAGGCCTCTGGAATTTGGGAGGCATGCGGCGACACAGCACAGGGACTGACTGAGTCCTTGCAAGGAGACAGAAGCTGAAGACACTTCGACTGCTTCAACAATTACGTTCTGACCCTAAAATAAAAAGATCTGTCTTAATGTATCAAACCAGGTGTTTTGGAACACAACTTCTAGTTACTTTAGAGTTCATTTCATCATTTCTTTTTTCTTTTTCATTCTTTATATTCTTTGGCTTGGCCATTGTATCTCAGGAAAATTAATATACTACCTGAATATTCATTACTTAATATAATTCATTGGATGATTTGCTTCTAATGCATTCTACTTTTTAAATTCTCTTTTTTCTGAAATGACCTTTTTTCTTCTTAATACTATGTGCCTCTGCAAGAAGCTAGTACGACTTCAGTGAAGTTATTTTTCCAGTTCCCTAAGACTACTTTAACATACTGTTAAATATTTCAAACATTTGCATAATAGCCTTTGTTTTGTTTCTCAATAATTCCGCATTATTCATGAGATACCGAAAAGCCAGACAAAGTGATACACTAAAAGCTTCTAATTCAACGTGTTGAAGAAAACAGGAGTGCTGATTAGTTAAGAATTAAGTAAAGGTAAGAACTAATGAAACTTGCTCTAGGAAATTCCCTGTCAGCTCTATTTTGCCTTCAAACACTAGCAGTGAATCCTATAAGGCAGGAACTGTTAGGTCCCCCATTTAACAGAGGAGAGAAGTTTAGAATAACTCTCAAGCCCAAGGTCATGCCAAGGGCAGGACCTAGGTGAAACTTGAACCTAGGTGAAATATGTCATTATAGATTATTATTAACATTCTCCTAGCCTCTGAGCGCATCGGGTTAAGGGCACTGTGAATTACCCAGTTCGTTTTACTTAATGTTCTTTCCCTTCCTCTTTCACACCCGAAAATTCCCACAACCTAGAATATCCTCAGGGTCTTTCTTTAGTCCCTTCCTTACGGCTGCCATCCTAGTTCCCACCGCCAACCCTTCTTGCCAGCGTCAATGCCACAGCCCCTAACTT